GTTATGCACGGTTGATGATGATAACTTAAAAGTCTTTGCTATTTTACACTGGGTAACACCATTCTGGTATTGGTGCACTATCTTTCTGCGCAACAATGGTGGAATTGGTGATCCTCTTACCATCTTGGCTTCTGAGAGACACTGACACTCCGAGAAGCTCTTTTTATACCCAATCATGTTGTCAATTGACCTAATTAGTGTTAATTGGTTTATCCAGCTGTTCGTTATATGCTCAATTTCCTTTTTCCAGACACTTATTGCTACTTGTCCCAACGTTTTTGGGATTTGTTGACATTGTGAAATTTTGAATCAACATATTTTTCCTTTAAAATGTTACATTTACTCAGATTAAACTTTTGATCTGTCATCTATGTTATATTACAAATAAAATATTGACATTTGCCATCTCCACATCATTGCATTCAGTTTTTATTAACAATTTGTTTAGTGTCCCAACTTTTTTGGAATCCAGTTTGTATTTAAAACCAGATATCTAAAAAAGTTGGTCCTCTGGTCCTTTGGTCCTTTCTACCTGGATTATTGAGCATGCATCAGGATGTTAAAACCAGATAGAAAAATCTCAAAAATACCATTTTATTTCAAGAACTCGTTTAATTGAATGAAAACTATTTTCTCCAAGCCAACATGACTGTCAACAAAGAAGAGGGCCGGCAATGGCGGAGGGTCGCACCAAAGAGACCATCTTAACACCAACCAAACTGGTTTGTTCCACTTTGGAATAAACTGTTGGGGGAAGAATCAGTTTTGTTGTGTGTTTCCTTGACTGAGAATCAGAATCAGTTTATTATCGCCATGTCAATGAACGAGGTTCACAAACTAGGAATTTGCTTCGACATAAGGTGCGAATAGTAATAAAGTAAAATAAAGTAAAAATAAAGTAAAAATAAAGTAAAAATGAGAACATTACATAAGACATAAGCCTGTGTACACCCACAAATAAAGTAAAATTAAAAACATAACATAACCATATGTACACCCATACAATAGAAAACAATAAAAAAGCTTAGAGAAGAGTACAGATGGAGTATTCAATTATAATACAGATGTGATGTGACCAAAGCAGAAATTATGAGGTAGCATTATGAGTGTTCAGGAGTCCAACAGCAGAGGGGAAGAAACTGTTCTTATGGCGGGAGGTTCTGGTCCGAATGGACCGACTGATGAAGCTTCTGGATCGAAGGCGAAAAGTTTCTGCAAAAAAAAGAAACTGTCTAGATGACCTGACTGAAAAATGTTGGATTGTATACCTGGATTAATGAGCAGGGACTTTGTTGTTTTCTCCAAGATTTTAGAGTTGTGTCGAATTCACAACACACGAGTTGTGTTGAGTTCACAACACACGAGTTGTGTCGAGTTCACAA